GTTACAATTTTTTTCTTCACTAACGACAGTTTATACATGTCCGTATTAAGTTGAAAACCAATTTTCGAGAGCGTAGAGCCATTACACTGAAATTGCACAGCAATCGTTTGAGCTACACTCGGTCCTTCTGTAACGTCGAATCGCGCTCTTAGGGAACTGAAACCTACAAACAAGGCTACCATAAGTTTAAAGTAATAAAAGCATGCACACTTGCTATATAGTATAATACTTAATATATAGTATACACCCAACCATGGTCTATTACAAAATCCAGAAATCTCACTCAACCAGGGACCATTGTAACGGACCACGGTCGAGAAAAGAAATGGGGAACTTTTGTTTTGCCAAGACTTCGAGAGAATTATGTACAAAATTCTTCCCCGCAGAACCAAAAGACCGCAAAATATGGTCTGAAGGAGTTTAATGATAGAAAACAAAATTTAAACCGTATTTTAATAATAAATCTGCTGTTACTTGCTACAAATTGTGACACGAAGACAGACGGAATTGCGCATATTACAAGCAAAACCGTTTAAAATGTAATTTTATGTTTATAGCAGTAACATTTTATTTCACTATTTGTCTAGTCCAGGTTTACTGACTCATCTGATCATTTCATGTACATGTATCTTCCAGTTATTGCCCATCTACATTCATAAAGTGAATGAAATAAAACTTTGGCATACGTACCTTGACCCTCAGAATTATTTGATAATTCTGGAATCTGCCAAAGAGCCTTTTTATGTTCTTTTGACCTAAAATGTAAACTATGTAAGTCGACTTGACATCGTTAATAACTGCAGATAATAGACGTAAACCAACGCGTATAGGGCTATAAATCAACAACACACTGAACAAACAATCGATCTATATAACTAGTTAATTGGTACAATTGGCCCCCAGTCGTTTAGCTTTTTGGTTATTTTGTGGTGCTAGCGCTATTTCTTATGCAAACTTGTATGTAATTTATATAAGGTTATTAAGAAGAGAATAAATTGCATTGTATTGTATCTGTCTGCTTTCGCTTTCATTTTGTTCCTCATTATATCTAGTGGTCAGTGATATATGCGATGGCAAACATATATATATATATATATATATATATATATATATATATATATATATATATATATATATATATATATATATATATATATATATATATATATATATATATATATATATATATATATATATATATATATATTTATAATATAGCATTTGTAAATTCTGAACGCTGATTGGCTAAGAGCCGTGTTAATATAACTCCATGTCAACACGGGAAATTTTCCGCCGCTTGTAACACGGAAATTGTTCTTATTCTTCGGGCTTTTGACATTGCTATATTATAAAACAAATATAAAACATTTTTTCCGTATTGATATATAGTTATATCAACACTCGCGGAAGTTGGGAAAACTCGAAATTGTGTGAAAACACTCCGCCCTTCGGGCGTCGTGTTTCCACACAATTTCTCGTTTTCCCAATTTCCACTCGTGTTGATATAACTGTATATCAACACGGAAAATGTTTTATATTTGTTAAATATAATATGACAAAAAAAAGAGAGATAGTGCCAACACTTTGGTAGCTGACAAACAATTGCTGCTTTTTAAGCCACATAAGCCTATAGAAACAGTAGACATAGAGTATTACCATTTGGCCATCGGTTTAGACTGCATAATCTCCACTCCTCCATTAACAGGAACGATAACAGAAACATTATTGAGAGGTGAAGCCACAGACAAACATGATGGTGAATATTGATAATCTAATCTGACATCTGTCATTTTTTCATCACATTTCCAATAACAACTTACTGCCAGAGGGAGCAGTAGTACATCATGCTGAACCTAATAATGAAATGATAAATGTTGTTCATAAACCATTCTTTCCTCTTTATTACAAGGCATCGTAAGGGGGATACCATACATTCACAGTAAAAGCTCAACAATGCACAAAATAAAGCAAAACGTTCGAAGAACTAGGATTTCCAGCTACAACCTAATTCACCCCCCCCCCACCCCCTCCCCCCAATAAGGGTCCGCCCTACCTACAATATGAACGAGACAGAGCCGTCACTGCAAGTAGCAATTTTTACCTGATATTTAAGGATATCTATATTATAATAAGGTGCTTGTCCTTGCTCAGCTAGTCTCTTCAAATGAGCTATCAAAGCAGGCATCCTAAATTTAAAATATTTCGCATCTCTATCTCCTGGTGGTTCGTCGCTAAAACAAAACGAGAGCATTGTTTGTCAACTACACACACTCAGCGCCATACCTAGAGATAATTAATTTCGTGGTAAGTGGTGATAACAGAACCCTCTAAAGGGTTTCGAGGATGAGGGTGAAATTTAGTGTCTGGATCTGGGGAAGTCTAATAAACGACGATTTCGAAAATTTTACAAGTTATGTGTACACTGCACGGGGATTACACACGGAGGCCCCATGAATGGGGTGGCTCTTGGTTTTTTGGGCAGCGGAATAAGGAAGCCTGACAACGACATTGGTTTGAGGGAGGAGGAAGTTAAAGTGAGTACTTTTAAACTTTAATTAGAATTCACCCACGAAAATAACAATTTTCTCAAGTATTTGTTCAAGAATTGTAGTCAAAGGGAGGAGGCACAGGTCTCTATGTCACAAACCATAGCCCATCAGAACATCAGGGGTGGAAAAAATAGGCGAGCACTGCTCGCAGGAAACGTTAAACAGCTGCAGGAAATTCGTTTGAATGAAGATTTGCTATTGAAAATTTGAAGGAAACCTTAACACCCATGTCCCACTATCGGCGCAACAACATATGGTTGACAGACATTATTCCTTGAATTTAAAACGATGGTCAGCTAGAACGCTATATGTTTATGAACATGCAGATTTAGCACAAAACTACTCCGTTGGTCTGCAGGAAATTTTTGTCTCCAGGTTGTGCTCCCAGGAAGAAAATTATTTTTCCTGCCCTGCAGAACACTCCCTTGTTTAGGTAAATAGATAGATAGATAGATATATAGATAGATAGTATATACAGTATATAACTCACTGTACCTCATAATTAGAGATTTATTAGGTATAACACTTTCCAACAACGCTGATCCTGTAATGGCAAAAGTTAGTACAGGAGGATCCTCGCTTGATGATAGAGAATTGATTGCACTTGCTGGAAATGATACAGTGACATCACCAGTTACACTGTGCCTGAAAATATACAACGATTGTCTTTCGATGTAGAGTAATGCTACAAAACTACCTACACTACACTTATAGCGGCAATACAAGTAGTCTAAAAATTACTATTGCAATTGCGAAATGCATAAACAGAAGATTCTGACTTTTCGGAGAAAGTTCTACCTAAGCCTATTTTCCACTAGCGATTTTCTTCGCGCGAAGCGGAAGTGAATTTTTATTGTTAAAATTGAAAAGAATGTATTAAAAATCTAATTAGTTTCACCCATTCGCTAAAAAACCGGCTTAACTCTCAGACGAAAGGCCTTCGCCTTGATCTCCTTCAAATTTCTCGACTATCGGGGAAAAAACACCATGCATTAGCACTTTTCAATACAGTACACCAAAAGATTGTACAGTATAAGGCATATACCCACGTCATCAACTACAATCATAACTCTTTGGGAGAAAAAGTGTAAATCTGTATACGAACAGAATCGCGGAGGAGTCTATTCTCTCATATAAAAAGATTATGTTTACCTTGATGTGTCCTTTCCTTTGAAGTGAGCATTCACAGTTTCAACTAGGGCGACGGCAACTGGTATGATTTCTTCATTCTTTTTAACCATTTGATTGCCTGATGCATTTACCTTGGAAATAACATATAGAATTTTTAACAACGGAAATTTTCAGCATATCAAACAGCTTACCTATAAAGTCATACTTTCAGGACAGTTACAATCAAAGACCCCATAGGGTAAGGGTTGGGGCTGGATTCAGGGTAAATGTTAATATATATTTCATACTGGGCCACATAAAGTACACGCCAACATTTCAGCGCGGGGTCCCACATATGTTGCGAATATCTGAATTACCACAATCGGAATAATGGGCGGGGAATTTGAAAAGGGAATTTGTTGCTGTATTTGAATTACTGAAGTACTAAACATACGGTAAACTCGTGAGTTGTACTGTTTATGGCTAACGAATTAGAAGAATTGACCATAGAAGTGCTTCAGTCACACAATTTTTAATCCATCTAAACATTAGGTATACGCAATGCAGTGTGGGATACACGTGGGTCAAATACTCATTGTTTGACAGTGACACGACTTCTAAGGTCAATTCCTGGGCATAACTTAGGAGATGAAGGTTATATAATTAGAATTTCAACAATTCTTTAACCATAAACACCCCCAACTCCGTTATTTACAGTACTTTTAATACTCGAGATTGGCAAGTGAACCGTCGAATATTCCAAAATTGGAAATATTCATAACGAAGTTAGGTACCGCGTGTTGAATGTGAGCTAAAATTGACAATAAACTTAATGTTATGTGCAATAGAAAATATTACAGTATTTTCTTACCATAGTTGGTTGAAGTATACCACCATTACCACGAACAGAGACTACAGGAGAAGTATTCCCACGCAAGGCTCGTTGTGTACTTGGACTGTTTATTCTATCCCATATCGTCTTTGCTGAACCTCCAGGATCATCTCCGTCTGCTGTGCCCGCAGCACTTGACACGCGGGCATGGAGGTCAGCTGAAAGGCTTGAGGCTGTCTCAGTTGTTGTAGTAGTGGGTGTAGGTGAGCCATACGTTCTTGTTGGGTCGAAATTTTGTTTCAGCGACAGAGAGCTTGATGATAATTCATTACCAGCAGCACTAAGACGAGGCTAGAAATCACAGAAAACAGTTTCAGTTATGACGCGTAGATTAAGAATATAGCTGTGATACAGTGTAAATGTCATTTAAGTCAACCATTAGGACTGTTCGGCATACCTATATGCCGAAAATATCGGTATTAAATCAATATCGGCATATCGATACCGGATATTCAACCATACCACCATACCAATACACCCAAATTTCGGATATACCGGAATTTTTCGGTATACCGTGTTAAATTTACCAACTATATGGCGAAACCATAACCTTTATTTTACTACCGAATGGCAATTCAAAGAAGTTTCTACTGCAATGATTCAGAATTTCCACTTCAGTGAGATTTTACACGTGAACGTGCATGCATGTCGTTCGAAACATGTTCGAAACAGCTTCGAAATTATCGTTTTCCCTTTTAGAATTACTCAAAATTTCCTTCAAACTTCCATTAAAGAATTTTCCTTTATAATTATCAAAGGAAAACCGGTATACCGATAATATCGGTATAATTTTTTCGGTATACCGATACCAGAAATTTCTCATACCGAACATTCCTATCACCATATGATAATAAGGGGTGCACGGCTCTGTCTCGATAGCTCAATGAGTAGAGTGGTGGTCCACACACCCGAAGGTGAGAATTCGAATCTCAATCGAGGTAACGATTGCTTCGTTGTTCTATGTTTCAGCATGAAGTTCATCTTTGACTACCGCTACCATTAAGGGACCATTAACCAATCAGATGCGTTTGATATATCCGATTAACCAATCAGATGTGCATTAAGCCAGTGCATGAGAGTTAATGGTAGCGGAAGTCAAATCTGAACTTCTCTATTGTCAGAATTAGTATGAAAAGATTTTTCTTATTTCTGAGGATTATTGCGTAAATAAAGAAATATTTGGTTTCAGGTTGTAAATATCTATTATACTGGATGGTATGTATGGGAATCACATAATATCCAGTATTCGGACGGATAGCAAAAAGTGTCATCTTCCATGCGCACTCATACAGAATAAAAGACGGAGTAGAATTTCGAATTTGAACTTCAGACACGAATGCAACGCCTATCTATCGTAACCTTCACACATGCATAACGCAGCCTAAAGAGCATTACTATATAGAGACAATATACTGTACCTTCGGTCTTGGCCGTGAAGCAGGAATGCTCAAGCTACCAGCAGATGTTGTTCTTGGTAGCTCAGATGGCGGCGGAGCAAGAAAGGAAAGAGAGTCTGGTGGAGACTGTCTTGATTCATCTGATGTACTTTCCTTATCTATTCGGAATAATACAACAATACGAAGAATAAAAATTAGTACAACAAATACAACACAAAAGCTTGGAAAATATTGAGAAAGTTCTTTCAAAGAGTCTCGTTCTGGTTCTAGCTTAATGGGCATTGTTCGGTCTGTGAACTTTCTGGTATCAGTATACAATTTCTTTGGCCTTGTCAAAGCCCATTTGCACTTGCAATTTTTGAGTATATGTCTCACTGATGTACCCTCATCTGAACATTTCATAACTCATCCACTCGTTCACATCCATCAGAAGAAAATCGTAGCAGAAATTGCAAGTGTATATGGGCCTTTAAATAGACAGAAAAGTATCTTAATAGAAATTTGAAAGAGATATAGATTTTAACAATGCCTGCGACAACTTCGAAGGAATTTAAGCCATATGCGCCGTTTCACAAAGGAGTTTAGCATCATATACTGTATTTCATAGTACCACATGACGGTAGACAGAAACTAGTTTTGTGTATTGTTGTAGTACAACATAATCGACGATTTGGACATATTGGAAGTTTCGGTACATGACCACTGAAAAACCCATACCGATACACCAGATTGACGTACTGACTAAACTGCAATTCGACAAATAGCGGGGTGCCAACAAACATGGAACAAATTATATCAAACGCAGAACAGTTAAAATAATCAAATGCACTGTGTATGCAGGACTGTAAATGTTCGGTCAAACGAGAATGAGAGTTGGCAGTCATAAATTACATGAGTTACAGTCGTGCCAATAGAAGCGCTCCGAAAAATGTTGACCAATTCATTTCCTAACTTGAAGGAACACCTCTGAACAATTCCTCAACAATTTGATAAGTTCCTTAAAAAGTTCCTAACTTCCTGTTTCATTGACCAATCAAATTTTATATTTTATTTTTGAGCAATCTGATTGGTCAATGAAACAGGAAGTTAGGAACTTTTTAAGGAACTTATCAAATTGTTGAGGAATTGTTCAGAGGTGTTCCTTCAAGTTAGGAAATGAATTGGTCAACATTTTTCGGAGCGCTTCTATTGGCACGACTGTAATTACATGTAACAACAATATACTACAGCCTTTAGCAGACTGGGGGCGTTTCTATAAAATTCTCAACTACTTTTTAACGACTCGTTTCGTAGTTAAATTGTACTGTAGTTAACTCTAAAATGCACGATTCTGATTGGTTAACTTTTTCACCAACTATAGTTAACTTTAACTGGATTCTAATACAACCGGCCCCAGCTTTTTTCGTGTTGGGTTATTCTGCATTTCTCAGTCTCAGGGCTTATCTTACCTGTAACAGACGAGGAGGTGGTTTCCGTTAATGATCCAGTACTTCCAAACATTGGTAAAGATGATTTCTTAGGCGGCAATGCTGGAGAAGATTCGTTAGAATGATTGCGATTGATCATTGAAATCCTTTTCTTTGGAGCCAGCTCCGGTGGTTTATCATCATTGCCCCCTGAACTTAGTTTATCTAAATCAAGGACTAGAAAGTGCAACAGATATATAATTCCGCATATTATACAGTGATACATTAGTTTTAAAACCTCAAGGGCTCCCAATAGAATTTTGAGTACGAAGCTTTTTGAAAGAAGTAAGCGATTATGTGGTGCCGAAGGTATCAGTAATGCCTGGGAGGAGGGGGGGGCGTCTCTCCGTAAAGATGTTGAAATTTAGACCCTATGAAATAGCATTTCCAGCCATCTTGGAGGGTAATTTTGGAAATTCTGTCATGTTTCCATGGTGCAAATTTTAAGTTATAAAAGCAAGAAACCTTTCCTTTCACATTTCTGTGGTAAGGATGAAATATTTTGACAGCGAAAGTCGATGAGTGCCGGCTTCTATTGGGAACACTGTATGACTTTGCAAAGGAGTAGCCTGCATGCAGCCTGATATTCCGAGGAGGAAGGGGGGAAAGTCAGTCTTTCTTCCCCCCCCTCGAAAAGTCAGGCTGCACGCAGGCTACAAAGGAGATGTTTCTATAGAATTACAGAAACACGCGAGAAAGAAAGACTTAATATTCGACACTTATGCAAGATTAAATAATCTGTTTACTTTCACTTTGTTCGAAACTATAAAACTGGTTTAGTTTTATAGTCTAATCAGATTCTATTTTGTTTATTTTATTTTTATTTGGTTTTAATTCGTAATATGTTGTTTATTAAGTTACTTGACGTTCAATCCAATGTTCTTTCAGAATTTCATTGCCCCCGTTTGGAACATGTTATAGAGCACATTGCAGGGGCACGTAGATTTCTAAGCAGAAGTGCACTAGGCAGACAGCCTCGACTGTTGCGTGCAGCGAATACGATGCTTACCTTGACCACTGTTAGTTGCCAGAGGACTCAACGAGGCAAAGTTTGCCAATTGATTTGGATGTGAATTTATATTCGTGGTTGTGGTTGTTGTCGATGTAGTTATAGCGGAGGTACTGGAAAAAGTTGGTTGACTGAAGTCAATTGAAAGAAGATCTTCTTGCGATTTTGATCTAAAATGTCCAAGAACACAAAGTTAACATTGCTTCAGACGAGCTTAAATCAGTGGCGGATACTGGGCAAGGTGAAGCTTATAGGGCAATCTCCCAATGCAAGTTTCTGCAATATCTAATTTCAATTAAATCTTGAGCGTGCATGGGGTTCCACGGGCGGCAGTGAGTGTAGATAGCGATGGACAAGGTACTTGAAGGATTACAGGATCAAACAACCTAAAAACTTTAATAATGAAAATTTCGAAGCATCGAGTAAATTAAGGCAGTGGTTGAAATGACCGGGTGCCAACCAAGTACCAAGGGTTCTCTCTGTCGCGGCCAGCACAAAGAGAACCCTGGGTACGAGGTTGACCGGGTGCAAGGTCGCCAATTGACCAAAGTTTTCATCTGGCGCCTCAATATTTGCCAAAGGTAGTCTGCGTGGCGACTGAGACAAAATAAAATAAAAAAGTTATTGTAAAGTCTTAAAATACCTAAAATACAGTATTTCATTCTACTTTTCCATATGCATGTCATTTGCCAAAGTACTGTATTAATTAAAACGACAGTTATTTTTATGTCATCTACAGTATGTACAAAGAGAATACTTCATAACACAAAATGTACCTATCTTTGGGTGGGAACTATTCATGGTTGTTTCCAAAGCAAGGAAAGGCAACTGAAAACAGACAGGTTGTCCCTGCTATATTTTTTAAAATTTTTTGTTCACTTTCTATATAGTGAAAACGGAAATAAGTTAAATCATGACTGACAATACTGTTTAGCCTTTCTTTCAACCGCAAGATGCTTCGTTTCATTGCTTGTCTGCATGTCCCTCTTTAAACTTGTACTTTAGTTAAACTGTCTTGTACCTTTGAATTTATGTTGGAAACAAACATGTCTGCTAGGGTGGTAGAGGGGGTGAGATTAAATTAGAGCACAGCCAGTTTCACAAATTGTTATACTATTGCATCTTGTGTCTTGTGATATAATTGATTTCATAATTCACGAATGCATCGATTAATTTATTGATCAATAGGTCTTCATTGATATACTGTAGGGTAGTCTGAAGTCTCCCTCGCAGCTGCTCTTTGTGTCGTTCCTCCTGCGAGGGAGACCATATATAGGGGGACCTGATATTAAATTTGGCGACCATGGATCTTATTCCATGAGTAAAGGCCCTTGATGAAGGACTTGAAATCCTTTAAGTATGTAATTTCAATTAACCACTTTAGAAATGAGAAATTTGAGTACTGACGAAGGACTTGAAATCCTTTAAGAATGTAATTTCAATTAACCACTTTAGAAATGAGAACTTTGGGTAGGATGTACAATATCCTTCAACTGTTATTCAATCGAATGAGACGCCAACAAAATCTTGATATTTAATTTCAAATAGCCACTTTAAAAAAGAGAACTTTGTGTAGTGATGCATCTGAGATTGTCAAGGCCCGTTTACACAGGCGATTTTTGCTGCGATTTTGGTTGTGATTTTCTCCTTTTCGAGGATATGAAGGAGTAGATTATTTAATAATGTTGTTATGAGATTTCATAACCTGGAAAATTTATAACTCATCCACTCCTTCACATCCTCCAAAAGGAGAAAATCGCAACTAAAATTGCAGCAAAAATCGCCCGTGTAAACGGGCCTTTACAGGGGGAATTAACGCTGCATGTGTAATGTGTAACCTGCCAAATGTAAAGGAATGGTACAACTTGATGACATACGGTATTTCGTCAATTTATTATAGGAATCAATACTTACAGTTTGTGAGAAGACTGAACACCTGATCCATTTAGGAATGTTGTTTTCGGAAAATCGCAATCTATATAACAAGACATAGGCTGTTTTGTGAGACTTTACGAACGATGTTAATGGTCGTATTACAACGTACCTAATGGTCTAATCAAGACCGTTAATATTTTACCTGATGACGTTGACTCGCTTTTCTTTTGCTACAAGAAAAGATATAAAATTGATTATACAGCCCAAACGAGTACTCCCGATTATACGTCATATAGGTATGTGCCTCCCTGCAGGCTATATGGACTTGTTTGGTGTAAAATTAAGGAATACATTCCGCTTGGCCAACTTGCAAACCAAGCTTTTTACTTCCGCTTCCCCTAGCTTTGATCTGAAATAGGGTACCTTTTGTGGATGCTTCGAGCCTTTGACCAGCTTATTTCTGATTTAACAGTACAGTATGTGAACACAAGTAATTCCATACAAATCGACCGTTCATGCTTTATTACATAATACTCACCCATACCGGAGGAGTCGGTAGAGTAAGTTGAATTGATCGAAACTCATCCAGACTTGCTGTGGTCTTTTCTGCTGCTGGTTTGATTGTAATTTTAATTTTCTTTGGTTCGTCCTCTGAAACAGAATTGTACTGGTCAGCAACAGGCTTTTCCTCGAACAAGGCCAAATGGCTGATTGTAATCACATTTGGACCAATCAAATCAGTTATCATCTTCTTTATAATAACGTAGTTTTTATCTACCCTACATATATGATTAAGACATCTTAACTTAAACCACCCCTTAACAGAGTTCAATATAATTCTGAAAACTTGGTCTGATATTGTGTCAGACCAACCCGTGTTTGGTAGGACATGATCGGACACTTAATTATTCTCAAGAGGGATGTTGTCAGTTGTCACAGGACTATAAACCAAAAATCTAACAACTACCAAAAGTCCAAACCATATGCATAATGGTTAACAAAATTACACAATATCAGAACTTACTCAGTAACAGTATATATAACATAAAATAGTTCTCTTATTGTGTGGATCGGGACGAAGTCAGATTCTGTGATTGTCTAGCAGACGGAATCTTTGTTTGCATGTGTTAAAGATTACAGATTTTGTTAAAAAGATTTGCAACAATGAAGGAAGAAATATTCAAATTGATGAAACAAAACGGTCGGCCGTTATGTCCGTGCAGAGTAATCAGTAGACGGCCATATCAGCATTTTGCTCGACTAATGGCCGGTGGCCGACCGTTATATTGATCCCTGCCCCTTACAGTTGATTTCACGAAACTTTGGCCACGCCAATTACGAGGTTGGTTGGAAATTTGGGAACTAATATACACGAGATCTTCAAGTTGATTGGAAACCGGCCAATCAAAATCGGAAGTTTCGCATCAAATTATCGAAATTCGTTATGAAATTCCGAACCAAGTAATTCGCAAGCAAGTTCGCAAATTGCAAACGATTTTGGCGGTTAATTTTAAAAACTAAACTTATTTTATTAAACTTACTCATTTAATAATAAAAATATCATAACAATAATAATTTCAGGTTTAAAATTATAATAGTTTAACAAAGTAGGTTTAGTTTTTAAAATTTACTTCCAAAATCGTTTGCAATTTGCGAACTTGCTTGCGAATTTGGTTCGGAATTTCGTAACGAATTTCGACAATTTGATGCGAAACTTCCGAATTTGTTTGGCCGGTTTCCAATCAACTTGATGATCTCGTGTTTATAGTTCCCAAATTCCCAACCAACCTCGCAACTGGCGCGGCCAAAGTTTCGTGAAATCAACTGTAAGCCTCTGGAACAGTGGCGTAATTCCTAATGGTACCGGTTGTGCCAGCATGAGTCAGGGGTCCCTGTGTCAAGAGAGGTCCTAAGCTAGGATACACACCTAAATTCAATGTATTTACAGTAAAAGTAATCAGGTCTGTTAGAAATTATAAAGAATTATAAATAAAAACTTTACTTACCATCATCCGAATCTGAGTCCGAGCTTTCGTTTGATTTATCTGATTTATGACGTAAACATTGTTAAGATAAATAACACTGTATAATAGGCGGAATAATTGCAATTATTAGAAACGATGTTGAGTAAGTGAAATCACCACAAGTAACCAAGAAAAACTCTGAGATCCAAGTGAGATTTGTACCCATGACCCTCCACGTTCTAGACGAATGTTCTAACCAATGAGCTATTGGAGACTCTAACGCCCGTATTCCAAAAACTCACTCACACTCAATGAGTGGAGGTTTAATTGAGCTTCTCTTGAGTGTCAATGCTGTTTCGGAATAGCTGAAGCATGAGTAGTCACATAGTTAGGTACGACACTAACCCTCCAACTATTCAAAAACAGCATTGACACTCAAGAGAAGTTCATATTGAATCTCGACTCATTGAGTGTGAGTGAGCTTTTAGAATAAGGGCGTATGGCTACGTGATGGGTCCGAAGGTCAAAACCAACATACGAGCCTTACTCACCAAAAACTCAGTGTTTAGAGCAATGCTGGGAAATGTCCGGCAGCGCCAGCAGGCTGACAGGAAATTCTTAACAAAATATCTTCGCAGGAAATTTCCATACACCTTGCAGGAAATTTTTGTCATCTTATATACCGAGATTGAAGTTGATCACAAATGCGCGGCAACATACTTTCTCGGAAATCTACATATGTGGGAAGTTTTATATTTGGCTTGCATAGGAAATTGCAGCCAGGGAGAGAAATACATTTTCTAGGCCTTGGTTAGAACATTCGTCTAGATTGAGGATCGTGGCTTCAAATCCCACATGGAACTCAGAACTTTGCCGGGCCTACTTGTGGTGATTTCACTTCCTCAACTTTCTAATCTTAGACAATCACAAAATAGGTCACAATATGTTGGTAACCTTAGATCACGACACCGATATTTCGCGATTTAATGCAGGCCACAACCACTAAACAATACAAAACAGAAAACAAGTTTTCATGTGTATTGTCAGGTGCATTGTAAAACAAAGCAGTAAAACCTAATTTTAATATCTTATTCCTCGACGTGTGAAGAAAGGATATTTTCTGTATCCTTTGGTATAATCCTGTATCCTTCTTCATCTACTTCCATACCATCATCGTTCTAAAACAAAAAATTGCACACGTGACTTACATAATAAAATACTACACACAAACACTCAGAACAAGCACTTTATGTTGACCATGACACTGTTTAAATGCTAAAATGATTTCCATACCCCTGGTAAAGCTTCGGCTGGATTTGCTTCAGGACTTGTTTCACTATAATAAAGGAAAGTAAAACGCAAAAAATATACACTTAAATTTATCTCTCCGCCATTTTATGGAAAACTTTAATCTTAATACAGTGGAAGTAATTTTGCATTTCATATGTTTTCACCCCACCTGCTCCACTCACTTCCGTGCATTAGAAACGTGCCACACAGAATAACCAGGCGACAAAACAATAGACAATTCCCATTATAGACTAATTTTTTTATTTTGGCAAAAAAGTATATTCCCGGAAAAAGCATACTAAAATGAGTAAAATTGCAAAGTTTGGTTGCGAAATGTTGTCAAATGCGGAAAATAAAGCCTTGCAAAGTTTGCGAATTTTGTATCATTTGGGCCGAAAATGGTAGCAATTTCCACACTCAATACAAAAGTATACAAAATTTGCAAACTTTGCAAGGCTATATTTTCCGCATTTGACAACATTTCGCAACCAAACTTTGCAATTTTACTCATTTTAGTATGCTCTTTCTAGCTGTGGTTTAAAATTAATCTACACGTATTATGGGAATTGTCTATTAAAGTCCGAAAAATAACATCGCGAGAAATCCAAGATATGGATTAAACAAGATTATACAGAACAGAAATTGTGCATGATACTTGTCAAAATCAGTGAATGGACGTCATACTGGGCAAGACAATTGTCTTTATTACATATCAATAGTCAAAGTCGCATTTTTCTAGTGTTTTATTGGTTGAGAGCATATCACGTGAGAATGACGAAATTAGGCTGTCTCCCTCGCAACAGCGCGAGAGGGAGATAATACGTTATCAACCGGCAAATAACAAAAAAAAATCACGTGCGCCATCACGTGAAGATGCGACCTTTGGACATGCCTAGTACGTAATTAAAACTTTCGCTTTAAGTAACTGCAGTGTAGCCAGTGTTTAAAATAACGTTTTAACAGTAAAATATTTCATGTATTTACGTTCATTTGTTCTTTAATTTGTTGTTTCTTTGACTATTGACATATAATAAAACACTTATTTACTGAGACCTCGGGAAAGCAGTGTGTTTTGTGGACCCTCGACCATCGATGTTTCCCTCGGCTTCGCCTCGGGAAATCGACGGTCTCGGGTCCACAAAACACACTGTTTCCCTCGGTCTCAGTAAATAAGTGATAAATATATTTGGAGCAAGAACTTCAGTCAATCCTATAAGAAAAGTGAAACTAGGATGGCGGAAATTGACGTCCAATAGCTATGAAGGTAAACAGTTCTAATATTACCATTCCAGCTAATTCCAGATTTTTCTAAAGGACCGTATCGCTAAACAAGTTATCAGTTCATAAAACTAAAGGATTAATTCTGGTACTTCAGCCATAACCTAGGGCGAATTAAGAATAAAAACTAAAATATCTTACATAGTTCCATTAGGAGTTTGTATTTTCTCCTTCTCTTTCTTTTTCTTCGTCTTCCTTTCTTTCTTTTCTTTAGTTTCTTTCTCTTTCTCTTTATCCTTTTCTTTCCTCTTTTTACGAAATGCTGAGGAACCAGAATGACATGAATTACAGTATGTAGAACAGAATGACATATTGGGAAGCATGTTAATGAGCAGTCGACGTTCTTGTCAACACTAGACTGCGAGCAGTTCCTCCAGAGAAAGGAGGGACTGCCGACAACACATCAAGAAACGAAATACGCGTTGCCCACACAACGCAAAATTCCCATTGGTCGAAATCAATATGCCTGTCAATCAAATCTGATATGTATTAATTATGCATTTATGTTATAAAAATTTCCAGATTTGCATGAATGTTGATTTTATAAATAAACATGACAGGCTTAATTGAGCGGTTCCTATTGAATAGAATTAATTGGATATAATCAATGGTTATGCAAAGGCGGAACCAACTTGACAAGAGCGAAAAGTGCGCGTATTTCGTTTCTTGATGTGTTGGCGGCAGTCCCTCCCCTCACACGCCCGGGAAGCCAAAGCCGCGGAAAGGAGGGACCGCTCGCAGTCCAGTTAACACAGACGTAAGGCGCACACAGTTGCAACCGATAATTATGGCGTGATCATGATTTAAATCAAGATCGCCCATCCATACAGTTTCTGATATGGTTTCACGCACTTCGTGATTTGAAGCAAAAACGTTTGTCGTCATCTACGAGAGAACGGTTCAATTTCGCACACATGACGTCTGTGTTATAACCAAAACGTCGCCTGCTTAAATTATGTTACAAACACTATAAAGCGATAATGAGGTGATATTTCGATATTATCGTATCGAAGGTTGAAAGATGATATATCGTAATTATCGTTATGGTCGATGACTATGGTAATATCGCTTCGCATGTGCAGTATGTGGCTTTTTATAAAAAAGCTGAAAACAGTTCTTTTAATTTCTTGAACTATATAATTATACTGTAATTTTTTTAATAATGAAAATATGCCGCTAACGGAGTGGACAGTTAAGTTTATGAAATGATGCAAGGTTTTTACCATGCATAGATAGAGAATAATACATGGGTGCGCGGAAATACCAGATTTATTTCGAGTGTTGAGCATGATATCATGTTCAACACGAGAAATAAATCTGGTATTTCCAAGCACCCATGTATTTTTCTGTTTATTATATAAAATAAATACACCAGGTAAATACACCTTGGTAAATACACCAGCACTATAAAACGCATACCTGAAATAGACTGTGTTCTAATATTAAGATTTGGAGATTCTTGAACTTCAATATCAACAAGTGACCCAGTGGCAGCAAACTCTTCAAAAACTATTTCAACTATAAAGTGTATAGAATGCATGTATATACTGTAATTGCATACCAGCAAATGTTTAAAAATGAACGCTTTTAGTAAAGGCTTTTAAATTTTGTGCGAGGTTAGAAATACTTGAAAAAGTCTGCAATATCCCATGTGCAAAAATATACTTCTACATGCAGAAGTTATGGAGCTACAGTATGCTACCTCCATAATATAAGGAGCCAACTTCAAATGTTAGCCAATCAGAGAGCGTTATTCGCCTCCATTAGGAAGCTTCAATTTGTCCCTCGACTTTTCCCGCAATGCCCACTCTACAGTATTTTTTTATAATCTGTAGCATGCTTATAATAAGTACTGCATGTATACCTGGTACGTCTCTTCCAGTGCCTTTTTCTTTCGCAAATTGATCCAGCAATTTGTCAGCTGTTAGTTCTTTTACCTGAGTTCTGAAATGAGCGATAACCTAGAACAGACATATACAGTGAATCAGGTGGGAAACGTCACGGCACAAGCTGTAAAAATTACCTAAAATTAGCGTTTATACGATTTAAGTAATTACCTTTTGAACAGCTTCCTGGCCAGTTTCAAGAGTTCCAATATAAGAAATCAAGTGTTCCGACATAGTTTTCAAGTGATTATTTTCAATTTCTTCAAATTTCTAGAACAAATAAATTTCTATTTCATGACGTCATACAAGAGATTAGGTCTTTCTATAGTACTGTATCTATAGTTCACTGTACAGTATTTTAGAATTTGTATGGAAGATGTGTTAACCTTTGAAGTTTCTATCATTTTGGAATGAAACGTCTTCCTGACTTCTTCTCGTTTTTCTATTAACACTTTATATTCCTCTCCTGCAAATAAGAAACACCAATGACTACATTGCAATGTACTCTGAGAATAAAAAATTATAAAATAAAGTTATGCTCACAATCAGGATCAAAAGCGAAATACCCAATGTACGTATACTCGAGGAGAGTTGATGGGCGAGGGTTTGCGTGAAGATTTCCTAACCTCAGAAAAACGCGAGAACAAGAGTTGCATCGGAGTCCACAGGCATAATATGCTGTAGCGAGCGAAATCAGGGCTTAACATGCAACAAAACGAATTTCCTTGAATCAAATTAGCTTTTCTCAGTTTTTAAAAACGGTATCAAGTATATTCACAGCAACGGTATACAGTGTGTATCTTAGATACCAACATACACGTTACATGTAAATTAGCATTGAATTAATAAACGTTCATATAAGATCGTATTCTTCGTACCTGCACGGATTTTTTTTTGCTCAGCCTATAAAATAAAACAATTTAAATTATGCATAAATGTTGAAATTGGCATTGCAAGCAATTAAGCAAGAAAACACAAAGGGTCGCCTACTCATATGTACCTACAGTATATGAACAGCAATTGTCAGTAATTGGTTAATAACAATGAAACATGTACAATAAAAGTAAAGAATGGATTTTCTAAAAAACAAATCGCAAACATGCAACGACTTTTGTTTAAGCAAGCTATCACAAAACGTGTTCATTTTAGATTGGTACTGTATAAAGAATTCCCTTTGAATTTACTTAATACAGTAGTTTTTCCCAGTTTTAACCTGTTTTCATTTACGATGCACGTATATCTTATTTTGGATTGGCTTTTGTTCTAACGAGCTATATTTTTTTCATAGTAATGTACAAACCTTTTCAATATCTTTTGCATTCGTGGTTTCCTTTTTGACTTTCTCGAATTCTTGACACCTTGAGTAGTAAGTGTCCTTAGCCTGTTTCACGCGTATATGAAAACAACAACAAAATGCACATTACAGTACGCTCCGACTCTTCATTTCATATGTATTTAAATTATTAATTGTTAAAGGCACAGTTCAGCCTTTTGAATGATGGTTTTTAAGGCGCCCTTTTAATTGAAAAAACTAACTAGGAAAATCAATTAAGCATTATTCACGATCAGCAAACTTAATGTTTTTAACATTGTAAAAAACATTGAGTTTACTGATCTTGAATTATGTACAATTGATTTTCCTAGTTAGTTTTTTCAATTAAAAGGGTTGAAATGCGCCTTAAAAACCATCATTCAAAAGGCTGAACTGTGCCTTGAAACCTTCTTAAAAATACTTGCTAAGTAAAAGAATCACGAATTCTTTGTTTGCAATGACGTAATTTTGGGATTTCAATTGACGGGCAGGTATAACAAAAAACTATTTTAATGTATTGATCGATGAATTGTCGTTCAGTTTTTCTTGGTACAACCATTTTGATAGGAGAAAAATCGTCCACAAGTTGTTCGATTGCCCGTCATTTGGATGAAAAGTCACGTGATTGCAAACAAAGAATAAATTTGACAATGATATATTTTTAGAAATGCTAAATGTGTCCTTGGCTGGGTTAAATGCAGTCTGAGATAGTACTAGAGAGTCGCCACAAGGTACTGTACATTGAAGTACAGTCTCTACAGAACCAGTACTAATAATATGATGAATCACTGTCAATATACAGACCTTCAGTACTGCTGCAGTTTTGGTTTGAATTGATGTCACAACTTCAGATGTTGCAGTTAAATCATCTTTCAACTAAATAGAAAATGTAGTACATTCGTACAGTACAGTAAATGGCACCTACAAGGAGTCATTTAAATACTTTTGTCTCTCCTTAACCCAACGAGTGACGGCACTCTCCCCTTGACGGGTAAAATCATCTGGGGTTAGACAGACTAATATAGTAAGGTGCATACTAGGCAGATAGTGTATAGGCGGATTAACCATTAAGTGGCACACACTCTCCTTGACTAGTAAAGTCTGGCATTAGATATAGAAATCTTATTCACCTGCGTACACTACACCAACACAGAAAATATCATACTTAAAGGGTTATACTGGTCATTATTTATGGTGGGGGTGGCATAATTTGGGAAAACATCTGCTGACCCAACCATTAAAAAGTCGAAACATTTGATTACCCAACCTCAAATATCAATTAAAAAATAAATATCCACCCCTGGCCAAACACTTTACAAAAGGATGTACCAGTCCTTCACCATTTCTGTGACATGAGTTTGATAACGGCTTGTGAAAGTTTCTGCAGTCTAAAGTTTAATATTGTCTGCACATGTAGTTTCTTTGGAGACACCATTTGCCCAACAGATCAGAAAACGGTCAAGATAGTGACTCTGATCACAGTTTATAGAAATGCTCTGATTGATTCACATATTGTATTGACATATAACTGTTGACATTGCTTTTCAGTCTCCAATATTTCAGTGAGTCATGCCTTGGAAATGACAATATTTTTTATTACCCAACCCTTGGGTTGTTTTGTTTTACACTTACCCAACCTTTTACTTACTCAAAATTCTGTTTACACAACCCTTTTCTCTTCGGTGAGACCACCCCCCACCCCCCACCCCCGACCAATGACCACTCCCTAATAGGGTTGGACGATATTAAAAAAAATCACCTCACGATTATTGCCAAGGAAATCATCACGATATTCGATAATATCGCGATAAATGCAATAAAAGCAATGACCACATTTTTTCAATTTTAATTAATATCATTACATAGCAAGCTTAAATATATTAATCTTATTAACAACAAGTAAAACAACAAATTAAAGTACTACGAATGCTTTTTCTAGTCTAATATTTACTGTTCATAAACTGGAACTGTCTATGCAGTGTCTACTGTGTCTCCGCTGGCACAAATGCCGTGGGCACACAGCGCAAGCAAAGCCTGCAATTCCATTGTTCAGCAGATTAATACATAAATATTAGCTTTTGTATCGTATTAAATTCGTATTTAATTCAGGAAATAGTTTTAATTCTTTTAAAAACTATATTTTCTAGGGAATTGAAAGAATTGTTTAGGATTTTATAACAGCTATATACACATGCGAAGCAATATCACGATAGTCATCGAGCATGACGATAATTTCGATATATCGTCGCTCAAGTTTCTACCTTCGATACGATAATTGTGATCGAAAATATCGCGATAAATCAAAATATCGAAATATCGCCCAACCCTACTCCCTAAGTTGTCTGCTTCTAAATTTTCTCCCTTGTGGCAAACAAAATCATTCTTACATAATTGTAAACTTTGCATGTAGAGAGCAAAGTTTTATCACAATTCTAGAACCACATAGCTTAATTTTGTATGTGAACCACCTTTATTTTATTGTTTTGCAACTTACAGCCTTCTGGTTTTCCTTTTGCGCTTCGCCATAATCTCTGACTGCTTTGATCAAATCATGAAGCTGTTGAACAGCTTGAGTATATGAATTTGCCAATATTTCAGTAGAACTCTTCACAATATTCCAACATGGCTCAAAAGTACTGTAAAGAAACAACAGAATTTCATTATATCGGATATAAAACATCAAATAAATCATTTTATTATATATCAATAGTCAAAGTCGCATTTTTCTAGTGTTTTATTGGTTGAGAGCATATCACGTGAGAGTGACGAAATTAGGCTGTCTCCCTCGCAACAGCGCGAGAGGGAGATAATACATTATTATATATCAATAGTCAAAGTCGCATTTTTCTAGTGTTTTATTGGTTGAGTGCATATCACGTGAGAGTGACGAAATTAGGCTGTCTCCCTCGCAACAGCGCGAGAGGGAGATAATACGTTATCGACCGGCGAATAACAAAAAAAATCATGTGCGCCATCACGTGAAGATGCGACCTTTGGACATGCCTAGTACGTAATTAAAACTTTCGCTTTAAGTAACTGCAGTGTAGCCAGTGTTTAATATAACGTTTTAACAATAAAATACTTCATGTATTTACGTTCATTTGTTCTTTAATTTGTTGTTTCTTTGACTATTGATATATAATAAAACACTTATTTACTGAGACCTCGGGAAAGCAGTGTGTTTTGTGGACCCTCGACCGTCGATGTTTCCCTCGGCTTCGCCTTGGGAAACATCGACGGTCTCGGGTCCACAAAACACACTGTTTCCCTCGGTCTCAGTAAATAAGTGATAATTATCGACCGGCGAATAACAAAAAAAATCACGTGCGCCATCACGTGAAGATGCGATCTTTGTTTGGACATGTCTAGTACGTAATTAAAACTTTCGCTTTAAGTAACTGCAGTGTAGCCACAGTGTTTAATATAACGTTTTAACAATAAAATATTTCATGTATTTATGTTCATTTGTTCTTTAATTTGTTGTTTCTTTGACCATTGATATATAATAAAACACATATTTACGGAGACCTCGGGAAAGCAGTGTGTTTTGTGGACCCTCGACCGTTGATGTTTCCTTCGGTTTCGCCTCAGGAAACATCGACGGTCTCGGTCCAAAAAACACACTGTTTCCCTCGGTCTCAGTAAATAAGTGATAAATATTAAAACGCATTCTAATCTGGCCTAGCTGCAAATTAGTGCTGGTCACCAGACACTATCCTGACAAATTTTACCTTTTGTCCAATCAATGCTTTTTATGATTGGACACATTAATGAAACTGACAAGAAAGCAATATAGGCAGCACTTACTAAATCTACATCGCCTTTATATAACATGGTAGAAATTAAAGTTATGTATAACGTGAACCATAATTTACTGATGCAACTTAGATTTGGTAATGGAATCTTACAGCTTAATTAATGCAGCAAGAAATGATGGGGAAGTGTTGTCTATATTGCTTGTGTTTCATTAATAAAAATTGTGTACTTAAACATTAAAAATACATTTTTTTGAGATTGGACCAACTTAAATTGGTCGGTCACATGTCCAGTCATAAGATGCTTTAATCAGACGAAAAGTAAAATTTGGCCAGACAATGTCCGATGATCAGCAGTAATTTGCAAGTCTGGTTTTATAGAGCTCAGTTATTTTTTATAGAAAATATGTCAGGACAAAGGAAACTGTCCATATTAGAATTATTAACATGTTTATGCCATTGAACTGAATATAAGCATAAACCATTGAATTGTATGCTATATTCAGACAATGGTTGACGCTGACATTTTCTGCGCCATACTGACTTATTCTAGATGAGATGCACACTCCTGTCCATATGTGCACAATATGTTACCATCCTCAATATAAAACATACCAAGCATAACTAGATATTTTTGGCATAGTGATATTTTTATAAACAGTAAACATAATATCAGATATTCAAAATTAAAAAAACCCAGATAATTATCAACATTCTACATCAACCTACTACTGTACATGTCACGATCCATAGCCATCTACTGTAGGTAGAGTTTATGTTCACCTTCCAGGGTGTTAGCCAGAAGATTAATTAATTAAAAAATTTGGCAATTTAATGAAATTGGGAATTCCAGTTAGCCTGCGACATTCAGACAGGAGTTAAGGAATATCGTGTTTCTTAAGTGACGTTCTCGTAGCCTAGTGCCAGCTGAGCTAAATAGACCTTTCCGGTAATTACATACGTCACAACTACACTGTTTTCAACTTAGGACCACCTTAAATGGAATAGATTTCAAGTTTGTTTCTCACAGGCTATGGTCAGAGGAGCAGAGCATCATTCTTTATCACATGCATAAAAAATAATTTTGGTTTTTGACCAATAAATATGGAAATAAGCTTAAATTAAACACAAAAATGAGGCTGAGGGGCCAAGAGGGGCTATGGCCTCGTTTTTGTGTTTAAGCTTATTTCCACATTTAATTAATAGTCAAAATCCAAAATTCTTTTTCATGCATGTGTTGAGGAAGGATGCTCTGCTTCTCTGTGCATAGCCCATGAGAAAAAAACTTGAAATCCTTTCCATTTAAGGTGGTCCTAAGTTGAAAACAGTAAGGTTGTAACGTAATTACCGGAAAGCTCTATTGAAACTTTTGAAGTGCAAGTCACCTGATATTGTTTTGTGTACTAAAAACAGACAAATATATATTTTAGGCTACATGACATCGTCGTAACACTTTTTGAAGTTTGAAGCATATATGAAAACGGCGTATTAAACGCCAAATTTTTTACTGTAGCTAACACCCTGCCTTCTTATTGCTCTCAGTTTCATCATTGTAAAATTATAAAATACAAGCCATAAATTCCAACATAATTAGTCTGTAAACAACTGAAACTAAACAATTATCACCATTGGTGTGTATGTCTTAACCTGTTGCTTTCCTGACAGTCATGTCTGACATGTGAACTCTAGGCTGTTGCTAGGTTCTCAATATGTTTTCTACACTCTTGAAAGTCACTAAATTTTAATTAAAACTTGTTAGAAACCGGTAACTGTTTTTTTTTAAATTTATAGTAGTCTTAAATTAAGTACATTTATAGTATAGCAGTTCCTACAGTAGCCTGCGTAGCAGGCGGTAGAGAACGGGAAGCTAGAAATACCACCTGCCCAAAAACTACACATTCTGAGTTCCGCCCACCAAACGCATGGTTCCGCCCATCTTAATGTATTTATTTGTCAAACTCACAATTGCATTTGCACCAGTGGAAAATATACGGCTTTGATGTTTCATATCTTCGGTTCATTCAATGCTATGAAGACAAAAATACCACGTTCGATTCAGTGTAACAATATGTCCTCATTCATAGCGATAGTTTTAGTCGATGTCAACATTATAGCGATTTATGTAATGAGCTTTGAAAGTCAAGCAAGTTTGTATATATACTTGTCTTGAACAAAAATATATACTAGCCATATCTTTCGCCGAACATAACTTCGGCCCCTTTGGACGTAACTTCTTTGTAATAGTCTTGTTCCAATCGCTATCAAAAACACTACTTAGAGTGTCATTTACGAGCCTGTATCTTCAAATATGCATCTTTTATCACGGTATCACATCTATCAAGCAACAAATGTTGGATTGATATTTGTTGTTCATTCTTCAAGACGATGAGATTACCGATTCCAGATAAAGATTAAAGAATTCAACGCTTAATTCTCAATTAATACATTTGTTATTTTTTCGTTAGTGTATGCCATCACTCAATATATCGGTATCAATTACGAAAATAACAATAGTTTATAATACGGCCGAGTAACTTCTAAAATTAGCACTAAGTATTCTAATATATTCTTTACTCCTGTCAATCAAAAATTCAAAGTCAACATTCCGACCAATCAGAATGCTCCGTCACCCAGCTGCCAGAGAACTCAGAATGTGTAGTTTTTGGGCAGGCGGCATTTCTAGCTTCCCGTTCTCTCGTGCCCGCAAATACCGCCTGCTACGCAGGCTATTCCTACAGAATCTCCCAATACATGTTCAATATTGAAGAAATTTCACTGCTGTTAACACATAACTGATTGGCAAAAAATGGAAAAAATCTTCCGATGAAACAACTACTGACTAGTCTCAAGTTTTGTATTGTATACATATAAAAGAATTCTACTGAAAACAATTTCTGTAAACATAAAAAGTTCAATCTAGAAGCTGTGGTGTATGCTTAACACCACAAATACCTAACATATTTAATATAATTCTGAAAAACCAAATATCAAATAACCGATAATTAAAATAAACTTATATTTATTGATTTATTGCAACATCTACTAATATCCCCATTAGAATTGTGTCTGTGTATTAACCTATTGAGTTGCATTGCGCCCTGATCAACATTTTTAACCCATTAAGTTGCATTGTGTCCCAATGCACCCTACTTAATTATTTTACTCTATCTAATGCCAGACAATTTTACTTGTCAAAGGGAGAGCACTGGTACTCAATGAATTAAACACGCACTATCAAATAACTGATATGTAAAAAATATTGATAATTATAGACATATATGTAATTACTGATATGTAAAAACTTATTGATAATTATGGATATCTTGAAAGCTGAACATATGGACCTTTCTGGCAGTTTTGTAATTAATTGCTGACACAAATTTACAGGTGTAGACAGTCTAATACAATAGAGACTGGCAATATTGTTTCCCTGAAACTGGGTTCATGTCATGGATTGTACTTACTAATTGATATCTATTTTCAGAATTTATGAAGCACACTCTATAAAACATGCATATATAGCCACACATTCATTAATTCATTTCTTTTGAATTTCATTCAGTCTTGTGTATTAATGTTTAAGGTGAGAATAAAGTTCAGACTATGTGTGCATAAATGTCATGCTTCAATGATGCTACAAATTTTCTAAGACTAAGTTAGAATATATTTTGAAGATTGAAAATTATTGATTTCCATGACAAATCAATTAACAGGACTGGCACTTTGTATACTATACTATATTTCTACATATTACCCAAAACAAAATTTTAATAAGATTACAATTTATCCATTCAAAACAAAAGTTATTAGGCATAGTTATTATACTCACCCCAGGGATATGCCAGCGTTTGTTGGTTTACAAATTTTACTCAATGATTTTGCATAGCCTTCTTCAATCGTAGCTCTGAATATAAAATTCACAACAAACGTTAACGTCTGGTTAATCAAAATACAGAAAATATTTAATATATTTGACATATATTGATGTGAAACATTTCAAACAGAATGTAAACAAATATTTTGTGTAGTTTGTAAATGAAGGAAGAATGTTTCAACATTTCCATTGCCTGACCTGTCACGGATGAATTCTGCCAGTTCTCGACTAGCATTCATGCCATGTTTCATAGTATGATACAACACATCGTAGCCATTATTCTTCTCTCCCTTTAAAAGACACAGCCGTTCCGGTGTTTAGCATGAATCAAAATAATACTTTCACACACAAGTCAACAAATTATGACACACGAAACAACTTTAACAGTATGTAACTTCCATGATCCCCCGAGATTAAATCAAGGATACTTCAAAAACTTACCCAAAAATTATCTTCGAAATAAACCATGACTAGCTTGCCGGCTTGAAAAGTGCTTTATAGCAGCAGTTGTTCAATATCTTCAGCCATCTCGCAATCGTCAAACTCGGAAGACATGTTTTGGCGACACAGAAACAGAAACAGACTGAAGTTTGCTCATGCGCACTACGGGCAACATCAGGAAGTAGTGACGTCATGTGACATTCTCAATTAATAAATATTCATGCGCCGGCCATATGGCCGGGCATTCAGACAGCTCTGGTCAGGGTGATTGCTAGATAGTATACTTCAAAATAAGGTTTCTGTTTTTATAACGTAGAAAAAACTATCCTAAAGCAAAACTAAACCCTAACCCTAATACTAAACCTAACCCTAACCCTAACCCCAACCTAACCCTAATCTGACCCTAACTTATTTTAAAAATAGAATAAAAACGGAAATCTTATTTTGAAGTATACTATCTAGCAATTGCCCTCTGGTCAGACCGTCAGACAGTGAGAGACAGGCTTTTATATAAATAACCCAATCAAATTTCAAAGAATAGGTCACATGCAGACCCTTGTAAAATTTCCCTTGTAGAATTACGGCCCTTGTAGAACCTGTCGTCGTCCCACGCGAATATTCATAAACATAATTTATGGTCATTTATGGGACTCACATACAAAAGTACATCAAATTCATTTTCATGCTGCCTGCTTGTGGAGCTGGAAAAAAGTATTGCGGAGACTACTCGTCTTATTATAAATAACATGCATGTGGAATTCAGGATCAACGGAAATGAAAGATGACGCCTTGAAAGCTGTGATGCCTGCATTACTTCTTCAAAAGCCATCATTCAAGTCGAAATCTAAGCAGTATAGTGAATGTGTTGAACTTGTGGGAAGCGGGAGATTTTGATGCTTGGAAACCAAGATCTCTGGCAGTGGCGAAACTACTGTGGGCTCAGACCAGGAGAACCCGGGGGCCCCCAACCCCAATGGGCCAAATGGGGGCCCCCAAGCTTAGGCGATAGAGCAAAAACATTGGCCAGGGTCTCTGATTTGTTACAATGTCGTTTTCTGACCATCAGAATTCTGTAAAATCTCTCCCCAAAGTCCAGGAAATGGCACTTCAGAGAGTCTAGATTCAAACATTTTCCGGGTGAGCATGCCCTGGATCCCCTAGAACACCCGTGCATATACGGCGCTCGACTCGTGCCTTTGGCACTTCTACTAGGGGGCCTTCGAAAATTTTGAACCGGGGGCCCCCTGATTTAACGTTACGCCACTGATCTCTGGAATACGTCTCTCGTACTCATAGGCGTACGGGAGGGAAAAATTAGGGGAAGGGGACTGGGGGATTGCATATATTTCTTCTTTTTAAAGTTATTTCCCCCAATATTGAGAGAATTTCTCCTGTTTATTTTTATAATACATCGTAAATGAGCCAAGTGTCCGACAACCATTTAACCGACTATGAAGCGAATAATATATTGCCCGACTTGCCTTGTTTGCCCAACAATGGCTGTCGCGCCCAAACCCCACCGTCAGGTACGCCTATGCTCGTACTTTCGCCAATTTGATGCCGGTTAGCTGATAAAGTGAACGCTGCTATGAGAATGCTCGATGATGCGTCAACAAATGGTATTCTGCGCGCAGTTTATATCGGAAGAAACATTCCGAGATCTGAGAGCAAAATTACCCTGAAGCTATGCAAGCAAACGAAGAGGTTTTAATGACGGACGAAATTCCTTTTATTGAGTCATGTTTCAGCTATTTATGAGTCGACAATAGCTAAGAGGGTCTGGGTAGGGGGGTTGGGGGTCTGAAAATCAGTAAACGGTAAAAAATTTGGTATTTTAACTATAAAAAGTTTGGTATTTTAACGGTAAGTCCTTGAATCTGCTGAAAAGTGTTCCGAAATGATAAACAGTATTTTTTCCCTCACGCTTCACAGTAAATTTTTATTGTTTTCACGACTGACGGTACTCGAAATTGAGCAATCACGACTCACGATATACCCTAGACTTGGTTCAAGTCCGTCTCTCAAGGGGTTGAACTGAATAGCGATGCACGCAAACGGTAAAAAAGGCACGAAAATATGAGAGAAAAGTAGGGAGAGACGGACTTGGATACCCTGCAAGCGCGCCAAATTTTACCGTCGGATTTTTCGTACGGATCGAGGTGTGACTTTCGCGCCAATTTTTGCCGTAACATTCGAAACGCTGCGAATGTCCCAAGTCCGTCTCTCCCTACTTTTCTCCTGAGATGGACTTGAACCAAGTCTAGATATACCCCCATCAACACCCTCCTAAAACAGCCCTGCACACAAAGGGAGCAGCAGGTCCATCCGGTTTAGATGCTGATGGTTGGCGAAGAATATTGGTATCCAAAACTTTGGCAACACAGGGACTTCGTTCAAGTCTTGCTGAGATGGCCCGTATTCTTTGCACAAGACAATTGAAAGCTGATACTGACCATAAATCCTCGATAGAAGCTTATGTTGCATGTTGTTTGATTCCTCTTGACAAATGCCCAGGAGTGAGCTAGACCTATAGGCATTGGCGAAGTGATCAGACGCATAATTGAAAAGCCGATAATCTCTTTGATCAAAACCGATATTCTGAGAGTGTTGGATCACTATAGCTTGCAGCTGGTTTACCATCAGGACGCGAGGCAGCATCTCATCGATCCATAGCCTGCGTTCAGCCTGACTTTTCGATGGGGAAGGGAGAATGCACGCAGGCTACTCATCCAATGCAAGAGATTTTTCAAGAGGAAGCGACAGATGCCGTACTACTTGTTGATGCGTCCAACGCCTTTAATTCGCTTAATCGTCAAGTGCTTCTCCGCAACATTGTTAAGAACTGTTATGGTGTTCGTTATGGGTGATTGGGTGGTAAAGAAATCTTATCGTGTGAGAGGACTACTCAAGGAGACCCAAGTGCAATGCCAGCATACTATGCCATAGGAATTGCACCGTCACTACAACTCATCAATTACAAGATATGGCGATGCTGAGAATTCAAGTCGGATGGCGATCAAGTTAAACATGCGCCGGCTTACGCAGATGACCTTAGTGGTGCAGGAATCCTTGAATCCCTGCTAACATGGTGGAATCGAGTTGTTCACTTTGGATACTATCCAAAAGCTCCAACGTCTTGGTTAGTGGTGAAAGATAATAGAGCTGTTGCTGCAAGAAAGATCTTCGCTCATACTGACATTAACATCACATCAGAAGGTCGCGTGCATATCTTGGTGGTTTCGTTGCATGGAAGCGAGGAGTCCCAAGAGAATTCTGCAAAGGAACTTGTTAAAAATTGGTGCGAACAGTTAATGAAATTGTCAATGATAGTGCAGTCGGAACCACAAGCGGCATTTGTAAAACAACAAGTGAGCAACTGTCTAAGAACATTAAATCTCAGACGTCAGAATACTCCTTTGATGCCAGGTCACACATTTCCACCAAAAATTCTATCAAGAAGTGAACTCAAGACATTTGGAACATATCAACGCAGTCTTGACGATCTCAAAGAGAGAATGAATGATGACCAAAAGCGTGCTAACGAGATTGCTCAAATGAAAGGAGCCGCCCAGCGTCCAACATCATTACCATTGAAGTTTGAAAACTACCTCCTTAACAAACGAGAATTCCACAACGCTATTCGCATGAGATATAGATGACAGCTCAAGTACATACCAACTACTTGTGCCTGTGGGCTTGTCTCGAGGGTGGCTTTATACATCAACGCATCAACGCCACGATGAAATGCGTGACCTATTTGGACAACTGCAGGCTACTGAGATTTCTCATGTGGAAATTGAACCTGCCGTTCTTCATCTCACTGGCGATCAACTCCATGCAACTGCAAATGGGCAAGATCAAGGACAAGGAAGACTTGACATCAGTATTGGTGGATCTTAATTGGCAACGTGGACAGCGAGCATTTTTCGATCACAGGTTTTCAATCATTTCGCTTTTTGACAATAGTTTTGCTACCAGATTGACAATTTCTGACAATCAAGAGAACTTGATCATATTATTTGGAGTACAGTTGGTTAGCACAAGAAGTTTATGTTTATATATTGTATATATTGTTATATTATGTTATTAAAAATTTTAATAGCAGGTAAAAAAATTTCCGGACATACCATCTTAGTGAGGCGGATATGTGTAAAATTATTGATCAGTAATTCCCGTTGAGGTTAAAAGCATCAAACTTTTACAATTGATGCAGTTTTATTTGCATAATAGTTTTATGAAGTGGGGCCATCGCTATTTTGCTGCTAACTCGTACGTGAAAACGGCTGATTAGTGATTTTCTTCTATTGAATTCTATTATAGCCAAAAAATGTGAAATTTTGTATTCAATTATGGCTTGCATCATCAGAAAGCTTATAAAAAACTGCATATAAGACGTTTAGACAGTTTTTTGATTTCTGAAATAGTTTTCGAATTATAAACTGTTAAAAACGCATTTTCAAACATCGAATAATTAATTAGGGACTTTTAGCGAGATAATGTGCCTAATTTACAGCAATAACCATTTGAAGAATAAAAAAACTGTTTAAAAGTCTTTTATATGTAGTTTTTTACAAGCTTTCTGATGATGCAAGTTATATTTGTCGAGATTGAATTCAAAATTTTACATTTTTTGTTGTAGTGGAATTTAATAGCAAATAATGCTAATAGCATCGTAACTCTCTAAAAAAAAACAGTTTCACGATGGCCCCACTTTTGCATGTTGTTCTACTCATAAAAAGATGCTACTGTGCACAATTTGGTGCTTTTAACCCTCTTCGGAAACATCCATGCACGTATCCGCCACACTATCTTTCAGTACAAGGTTTGAAACATGCAATACAAAAATCCCAATATTAATGTTGTATTTGCAAAATCATTTTCGCACGTAATATATTTCCTATTTAATACTTTTAATACACCTGAATTCCCTCAATTTTTACCATAAATATGCCCAATTGTTATACATATACTTTAAAAATTTTAAATCTCATCCATTTTTCACGAGCGATAGCGGAACAGTTGTGACTCCATCATTTATTACAGATTTTGAAAACAGTATTTTCAAATAAGCCAATTCGGAGTTTCCACTGCATTAGACATGCTCCAAGCCTCTCTTTCATTGTCATATCGATCCACTATAGTGTACATTACATGACGTAGCACGGAGAGGCGGAGCGAGAAAGACAGACTTGTCAACTTCGGAAAATCCGGTTCAAAACTGAACCGAAAATGCAAGACTTGCTTGAACTGTTTTCCTTCAATTTCTTTCTGTATTATTTACTATAATGGAACTCTGTGCTAGATCAATACTCATATAAACACTGACAGAAAACAATTAAAGCAAGTCTTATATTTGCGGTTCAGTTTTGAACCGAGATTTTCCGAAGTTGACAAGTCTCTCTTTCTCGCTCCGCCCCTCCGTACTACGTCATGTAATGTACACTATAGTGGATCGATACTATATGACAATGAAAGAGAGACTTGGAGCAAGTCTACCACTGCATGCGCTTCTTGCAGTTGAACTATAACATGTAGCTGAGACTGGAAGAATTACAATATGCATGACAACAATTAGTTCCCACACAGTTGATTCGCTTTAAAAAGGCCCAGTGTCACCTTTTGAGCGATGTTATTTAATTGCTAGAAAAATTTACTGATCTGATTTTTCAAACTGGACCATGTGCACATGCTCAGCAGTAAATTTTAGCAAACAAATGTCGCTAAACAGGTGCATGACATTAATTGGTGACACTGACCTTTTGACTGTGATTCCAATAATATATATTCCCTTAAGGCCTTAACCAAACCTTTCTTTAGTTTACAAGCATGAAGACCGGCCAGCGAATCCGCAATACCGGAGGTAACTGATCCTAATTTAAAAGATCATATTGGCAATGTTATATTATCACTCATTCTCCCAACAATCGAGCAGCGTATTTATTTTTTGGTTCTTTAGACGGATTTAAAGTTCTCCCTGAATTTAGTAGAGAATTGGTTGCCTCATCTTGTCCTGACGAAGTAGAATCTCCAAACTTTTGTATTGAATGTCTGGTCAGTTTCGTTTCCCCTTCTCCCAGACAGTCTTCCAGAGCACCGTACATTTTGTGTCGCACACGTGGAAGACCTCCTTGACTAGGTCTTGTGTCATTCGATGATACTTTAAATGAATGGCGATACACAAAATAGTTTAAGATACCCTGCAATGGGTTTAAGAACGCCTAAAATAAAATATAATCGATATATTATTATACAGGGTGTATCAAAATAAACGCAATTCATCTGTTGTGCTTAATAACTTTCGAAATACTATCTCTAGTTAACGCTTTTAGGCTTACTTCAAAGCCTGTTCTTTTCTCTTTCAAACAAACTATTATCCTTGTCTCCAATGCTAGTAATAATTGCACAGGAAAAGATTTAGTAAAACCTGTTTAATTATGCAAGTTTACTATGTTATTGTTTAGTCGGTTTAAATGTTAGAATTTTCTTCTTTAAACTTTAATGTTGTCGTCACTTGGTCACTACATCTGGAAAACCACGTAAGAACAAATGAAAAGTATTTTAAAAAAGACCAGGTTGTTTGAAAATCCTAAACGAATGCTAAAAATTGTCAGAACATTCTGGTGTCTGAGCCAGAATGTCATCGAATTGCGATGTAATGTAAACAGAAATTATAGCAAGTTGATGTCAGTCAGCTTAGATGGTCCAAGCCAAAATTATATCGCATTTGAAGTTTCAAACTGAGTTAAAAATAGTGGAAGAAAAGCCGTAATTATACTTATTGTTACAATCCATTTAATAAAATGCAACATTTTTTTGTTTTAATGAAAAAAATCAGTTATTTTCATGAGAACGATTTGTTATTCCATCTCAATTTTTTTAATCTCCAATCGCAATAACGTAAAGTATTATTACCCGTGAACCAATGAGTCAAATTTAAGAAACAACCCACTGTTAGAAAGCTGAATGGCTACGCTTTAAAATGAATGTAAACTTTAACGTTTTCGTCTATTATTTGTTTAGCAATTTACATTTCAGTCGAGGATTGCGCTTTTTTTGATACACCCTGTAGAGCGGCTAAACTGTGGAATAGTCTCCCAAATGAATTAAGAGGAAAAGAATCACTAGCTATATTCAATAAAAACGTATGACACCTGGCTACCAATTAGAGTTTTCAAATCCATATTTACCTTGACTATTTAATCTATTAATATTTACTATAACCTATAGTTAATTATGTATGTAATTGTATTAACTGTATGTAAGTAACTGTATTTGTATATTTAATTTTTCTAAATTTTTAATGTAAATTTGAATTTAATGCTACGCCCCCCTTGGAAATCAGCTTTTGCTGTAGGGGTTAGCGTAGTAAAATAAAGTTTTACCTACCTACATACCTACCTACCTACCTTTGTACTACAAAGAGATTTATACAAACAATAACGTAGCATTTAATTACATAGTCGTGGAACGTATTTGTTCCATATTATTAGGGCCCGACTACAAAAAAATTAGGACATGTCAAGTAAGAGATACAAGCAGGTGCATGAAATGTTTTACGATAAACTGATTATATTTGCTTGCAGTCAATGCTTGTAAATTTTGACTCCTAATTAATTTCCTCATGATTATTTTCAGTTGTTAAAACCCAGCAGGTAATTTCCATGGGTGGCAGGCAACACGTGAAGGGCAAAAGTGTTTGGAGCAGTCGTGTTTGCAAGGCTAGCCGATTTACATTTGGACGTACAGAATAACTCATCGTTACCCGCCACCAGTCACCGCCATCTGCAGAACATACCTGCCGGTTGAAACCCATTATTTGTTGTTTGCAATAGTTGTTGACTTGTTGACATATTGAAACGGAACATGTACAATGAATTTTTGCAGTTTTAATTACAACTATAGCATATTATCATAATATGAATATAATTGTCATATATGTAATATGTGATTCGGTGGCCAAATGGACTATTTGTTATTTTGAAGGCATACTACATTACATATACGTAGTGAGATAACTACTGCATCCAAAAAACTGGTAGCTCAGAGTTTTAGTGCCAAGCAACCGATTAAAGTATACTGGTATAAAAATACGATACAAATCTGGAGCGAAAAACCGAGGTTAAACTAAATTAAACTAAAAGTTAACCTGCTTAACCTTTTTGGCGAGTCGCATCTTTTTTCACGAGTCGCGCCTTTTTCCACGAGTCGCGCCAATTTAGTCGCGCCTCGCGCTTTCGAGTCGCGCCTCGCGCCATTGAGTCGCTACTCGCATGCCGCGCCAATTAGATTATCTCAGATTTTTGTGGTAATGGAGATTCTCCATGCAGACATTGTATTATTATACTCAAAAGACAAAGAACAAGCGAACAATGAGACGCTATACTACTTCTATTTACATTGTAAATGTATATTTTTAATATGCAAATATAATTTCACCATATTTATCTTTCAAATTGTGCTTTTAATGTTTCATGCAGACTGATATTTGAATCTTATCTACAGTATTTGGAATGGCTTATCATAGGCTTAGTCGCAAAATATGTAGAAAGCGGATATAATATCGTTGATGTTGTATTTGCATTGGCATAATTTGTATAAACACTTTATAAGACAGTCTCCATCGTCATAGAAAAGCGGCGGCTAGTTATAAGTACTTTTTAGTCTGCCAAGACCACTGGATGCTATTTCTAAATATTATTTAGATCTATTAGATCAGTGCTGGTATGTATATTGTATATTAAGTCATAATAGTAAAGCAGAGCTGCCAAGTCTCACGGTTTACCCGTGAGTCTCCAGGTTTTCGCGCTGACCTCCAGGTCTCACGGTGGGTGTTGAAAATCTCACGGGATGCCATTAAAATGGTCCTTTATGCATGGATTCTGCATCTATGCTCTGAAAAACATACAATTTCCGAAAATATCGTCTGTTCTTTCGAAATAAATCCGTACGTATTTGTAAAATGACACTCTTGTTAAAAAAATTAGTAGCGTGAAAGTATAACTAAACATAAATTATGTGTGTGCGCAGGCTTATTTTTTATTACACACGCATATATGGCTATCTGGTTCTCCGAGCATGCCCGGTCAACAATAATATAAAGTCAACAATTTATACATAATTTGATTAAAATTTTTCAGTGCTAAATAATTATTGTCTGCGCTACTTTGTCTGGCTATCAGGGGTACGAACTACGAACTAAAGGTCCCAGCAACCTCCAGGTTTTTAATCCTCTCAACTTGGCAGCTCTAAGTAAAGTCAAAATGAAAATTTCGATTTATAGCATACGCCATCTTGAAAACATTACTCGGCAGGCGCTCTCGCCTGCAACCCGCATTTTCCGAACCTGCCCGAAATGCTCCCTAAGCGCCTGCGGAGGAGGTAGTTTATTCACCTTTTGCCAAACATTCTGAATTTCATTTGGAGAAAAAGCTTGGATATCTTCAAAGCCTTTCGTTATTCTCTCAAAACCAAATGAATAACATAGTCCTTGGACCTTGTATTCAAGCTCTTTCGTGTAGAAAGTTTCGTTTAAATACGGTGAGTAGAAAGATCTATTGTGAATTTTTCAAAATATCGGGTTTTACTCGCAAACGCGCGTTAAGCACTACATGGTGTATAAAAATAAACTGAACAGATTTGAAATTGCTCTCAATTTCGTAAAACAGCTCGTGGTATCACGTTTTTGTTATGTATAGATTCCTTGAGTACCCATAATGTAGAATAATGAAAAAAATTCACGCGAACTCAAATTGTGTAAACCAGGGTCGTGTTTCTTTTCCAACAAACTAAAAATGGCTTGCGCACGAAATTTGAAACCTTTAATCGTATTCTGAGTTAATGATCATCCGGGTGCCTCATGGGGTTTTAATTACTGTACAAAATTTCAGACAATTTGGTTTAGTTCAGTTAAGCCTTTAACTCTTCACTTTTTCCTAAAAAATCAGTCTTACGAATGCTTCAGTTAATGCCTTTGCCTAATTTGTTTACGTCAGCAATATGCAAATTAGGTAAAAGCATTGATTAAGTATGCAAAAGGCTGATATTTAGTAGGAAAAAATGTAAGTTTACGCGAAGATTTAAAGTGCTTAAACTGAAGCAAATTGTCTGAAATTTCATGCAACAATTAAACACCCAACACATTTTTCAACCATTAATTCAAAATACGATTAAAGCTTTTAAATCTCGTGCGCTTGCCATTTATAATTTCTTGGAAAAAACACACAACCCTGGTTTACAAAATTTTAAGTTCGAAACATTTTTTCATTATTCTACATTATAAGTACCCAAAGAAACTATATATATAGAGGGCCCCCTATACTTTTTGCGTGAAGCGTGAAGGGCTTATTTTACTTAGCCGTGAAACGTGATCGATGATTTTCTTAATCCGCGATTCGTGAAAAGGCAAAATATTTTTACGTGAAAGCATATTGTGAAGAGGTATAGGGCCCTCTATATATATATATATATATATATATATATATATATATATATATATATATATATATATATATATATATATATATATATATATATATATATATATATATATATATATATATATAAAACTAGATATTAATCACTGTTTTTCGAAATTGAGAGCAATTTCAAATCTGTACAGTGTTTGACCAATAAGGAGCTCCCGTAGCCGGGATGGCGTGAAACCACGCGTATAGGGGTACCTTGACTTTCAAAGGTTATAAATCGCTATAATGTTCACATTGACTTAAACTATCGCTAGGAATGAGGAGATATTGTTATACTGAATCGAACGGTGGTATCAGTTTCTCTTCATAGCATTCACTGGAACAAAGATATGAAACGTCAAACTCACATTGCACCGATGCAATGCGATAAATGGGATATCTTGAGAAAGAGTTTTAGAATGTTGGAGTCAATATAAGCTAATTAGTTTCTTGTCGGAAACAAACTGGGAGACCATGTGCATGTGAGGCAAAATAATGATACCAAAGTTCACGCTCTGCATGTTGCAGCAGCAAACTTCAATCACAAAGGTGAAAAGAGCATGAAAATAACAAGGCAACAAACACTGACCAACACTTTTAACAAGTTATAGTTAACCTCGTGCATCTGCATGCACAGATCAATGGCTTGCAACATGTACGCAGTGCGTACCTATTTTTTCTTATTATTTTTATATAATCTTATTGATCGTAGCTCACTGTCCTTGACGTGCTTGCGTTTTTCCAGACTTGACTTG